GAGAGAGAGAGAGAGAGAGAGAGAGAGAGAGAGAGAGAGAGAACAGAAAAGAGAAGAGGGGTCAGGGAGAGAGGAAGAGGGTGCCTGCAGAGGCCAGAAGAGGGCATCAAATCCCCTGGAGAGTTACAGGCAATTGTGAACTATTGTGAACTGCAAGATCCGGGTTCTGGGAACTGAAGTTTGGGTCCTTTGCAAGCACAGCAAGTCTTCATAACTCCTGAATCATCTCTCCAGTCTGGCCCGTAAATTTCTTTTTAATAGAATATATACTTGATGTAAAAAATCATCGTTATAGCCGGGCAGCAGTGGCCCATGTCTTTAATCCCAGCACTCAGGAGGCAGAGACAGGCAGATCTCTGTGAGTTCAAGGCCAGCCTGGTCTACAGAGCGAGTTCCAGGACAGGCTCCAAAGCTACAGAGAAAACCCTATCATTACTATGGAAGTTGAGGCTGGAAGAGAGGGTAACAATAACTGAGGAGAGCTAAATATTGAAAAAAAATATTTTTTTAATCTCTCCAAATGTATTATGAATGAATGTTAATAACATTTATTCTGGGAGGAAATAATACTTGTAGAGACCCAGTAAGCTACAAAAGGGACTATAGTAAAAGTGCCTCTGCTCTCAGCCGCCCAGTTCCTCTACGGGAAACAGCAGGCATTTGATTCTTGTATTACCTTGGCAGCACTGGATTGACTTTATCAGAGCAAGAGGGACATTATCAACTTTAATATCATTTTATTCCTTGAGAATTTCACACATTGTATTTTGATCATATTCACCACCATTTCACTGTTCCCCCCAATTCCTCCGAGGTCCACTCCTGCCTCCCCACCCTCTTCCAGCCTGTACCCACTGTAATAGCTCCCACTGTCTAATTGGTGTTGCCCATATACTTGGGAGTATGGGGCCAGCCACTGGAACATGGTTGCCACACCCTTAAAGAAAACTGACTCTTCCTCCCCTAGAAGCCATCAGCTGTCAGTAGTTTGTCAGTTCAGGGTGGGCTCTCATAAGTACCTCCCCACTCCATACTAGTATGTTAACTGGCTTGGCCTTGTGCAGGCAGCCACAGCCTCTGTGAGTTTATTAATTCAATGGTCCTGTCATGTCCAGAAGTCACTGCCTCACCCCAGTTCTCCGTGACCTCTGGCTCTTGAAATCTCTCTTCATCTTCCACAGTGGTCCCTTAGTTTTGGGGGGTGTGTGATATGGATGTTCCATTTGTGGCTGAATGCATTCACACTTATTCTCTGTACTTTGATCAATCGGGAATTTCTATGTTAACCACCATTCACTATACAAAGAAACTTCTCTGATAAGGCCTGAGAAATGTGCTAATCTATTGTAATCTATTGGTACAGAGATAAGAATTTAGAAGGCAGTTTGATACTATGCCCGTTTAACAGAATAATGACAGTAGTTTACTCCTGGGGCCTTTAAGCTCCCTGACCATATTCAGTGGTTCTGAAGTTGTTTTGTTGAACCAGTCTCACTCTGTAGCTCTGGCTGGCCACTAGGTAGACCAGGCTGGCCTTAGACTCACAGAGATCAATGTCCCTGCTTCCCAGATGCTAGGATTAAAGGCATGCTCTACCATACCTGCAATATTCAATGTTTATAGTTAGGAAAACTAAAACTCAGAAATGCTCTGATTCACCAAAGTCACATACCTCCCAGTGTCAGACTCCAGTTCTTTTACTCTCTAAGACAGGCTGCCATACTCCCTCTAAATCAAGCTGTTTTCATAAAAATCAGAATTTAATGATGACAGGTATTGGTCTCAGATTTGCTGTGTAGTCCAAGCTGACCTCAAGCTGGAGATTCTATTTCACACCTCCTAAGTCCTGGAATTAGAGGGTTGTGCTACCACACATGGCTTTTAAAATTAAAACATTAAAAAATTGAAATCTAGATTCACATTCTACTAGTATTTGGGTAAAGTGTGTTACTTACCTTAAATGTAATCATATATAATTATTATAAAGTAGTGAAAAGAATGATCTGTAGTTTTTGTTTTTTATTAAAAATAAAAAAAAATAAAAATAAAAAAACCTGGCATAGTGGCTCACACCTTTTCAAAGCTTCAGCACTCAGGAGGCAGACACAGGTGGCTATCTTTGAGTTTGAGTACAGCCTGGTCTACATAGTGAGTTTTAGGACAGCCAGGGCTATGTAGAGGGACCTGCTACTTCTCCCGTGCCCACTCCAAAAAAAAAAAAAAAACCCTCTTGCCCAGTATTTCTGTTTAAATTTTTGTTAAGTTAGCTTGTAAGGAACTATAAATGTTTCGGGGAAGGGGATGTGTGTGCTAGAGAGATGGCTCAGAGGTTAAGAATATTGGTTGCTCTATTGTCCAGGTCTAGAGGACCTGGGTTCAATTCCCAGGGACAAGATATGCAAGCAAAATACCCATACACATAAGATAAAATGAAATATCTTTAAAAGAAACTATAAAAAAATTATCACTAAAAGTTTGTTTATTTTCACTCAGTATTTTTAAGGAATCTAAACATTTAAAGCTTTGAGGCTGGAGAGATGGCTCAGCAGCTAAGAGCACTTGCTGTTCTTTTAGAAGACCTGGGTTCAAGTCCCACCATGCATCGGATGGCTCACAATTTCTTTACCTTCAGTTCCAGAAAATCTGAATCCCTCCTCTGGCTTCTCAGGGTACCTCTACACAGGTGGTATACACACCTGTATCAGTCACAGAAAAAACAGCTTGTTTAAAGGAGCACATTTAACTAAAGAGTAATGTGCTTTATGCTTTATGGTATTTTAGAAATACTGGAGCTTTTTCAATTTCAGAGTTTTTGGGTTTTTGTTTTGTTTTGTTGAGTTGGGCTCTGTGTAGCTCAGCTGACCTTGAACTCCTGATATTCTGGCATCGACCTCCCAAGTACTAGGGTTTCAAGCATGTACCACCATGCCTAGTATATGTTCAGATTTCCACGATATGTTGGTGTGCAGTTTCTAGCCTTAAATACATAGCCATTGGTGCCTCTTCTTGCTATTTTTGCCACTTTTTCACCTCTTTTTTTTTAGAAAAGTTCTTGGTGGTACTTATTTTTGTTAATCTAATTTAAATTAATTTTGTTAATCTCATTGAATGCTGCTTTCATATAAAATGTATGATTAGAATAATTAGAACTCTGTAAAAATGTGTCCCAATTTACAAATGAGAAAATCAAGTTTAATAAGAGTTATACTTTTGGCTAGTTTTGCAGTGTTGGAGATTGATCACAGAGCCTCATGCATGCTAATCCAGTTCTCTACCAGTGATCTGTACCTCTTTTTTTTTAAACTTATTTGAATATTCCATATA